CATTGATATAACAACAAACAATTTTAACATACCGACCACACTCGTCAACAATCATATCTCAGTACCACAAACTCACTCCCACATAGAACAAAATCAAATCCACGACTCCAATATTGTCAATAACGACAAAGATATTCATACTTAGATGTATATGTTAAGCATCAAAAGGATCAAAAATGATAGGATTTACACTGATGAATGATAATATAATAATAAGACAATAATTATAAGATACATAAAATAAGAGTAAATTGTTAAAAGATAAAGATAAAACAAATGGAATAATGATTTAATAGTTGTTAATAATAGTGTTCGTAGTAGTATAAGTAGTAGTAGTAATAATAATAATAATAGTAATGATGATGATACAAATACCGATAATAATAACAACAATAATGATAAGAGGGATTATAAAAGCAATATCAATAGTGAAAATAGTGATAATAATAATAACAATAATCAACAACAAGAACACATGATAATAACAATAATAATCATGACAGCAATAATGATTACAGTCATAACGATATTGAAGTCACGATTATAATATAATAATAAAACTAATAAGAACACTATAGACATCACTCTGGCCACCCACAATCTTACCTGGCCACGCAATGCTCGCAATGCTCCTATTATTGCAGGTACAGTTTTCACTAAGGGGGAGAAAGTAGGTACCCGTGCTAAACTCCATTTTCGATTTCTTTCATTAACGATGAGCGTTCTCTGTGTCCCGTATGCAGCAAGGAAGCAGTAGCTAAAATGGTGAAGCTGACTGCCTATTCCTCGTCCCTAGAATGAGAAATGTCAGTGTACGATTTTAAAATAAGTTTCAGAGGTGGAAAAAATAATTCGAATTTATGTATTTTTTCATTTATCACATGTGTATCTTCTGCTTCGTTAACATCTGAGATCATTAGCGGTGTATTCAAATTAAAGCGACAGGGTGGAGCTTGGGCCAAAACCCCGGTTAAGGAAGATATTTTTGTTTTGTTTTGCTTTGTATGTGGAAATGGTCAAAATGGTCATGACATCAGGGGTCATGCAGCACTAGGCTAAAGTATTGTGGCGGAAAAGGTAGAAATTAGTCAACAATTAACACAAATTTGTTAGAAGTCAAAGGTTGTAAAGCACTGCAGTTTACTACGTCAGTGAAAAGTGTTAAAAGGGAAGAGCAAACGGAGTACCAACGCCGTTCAGGACTGACACACAGCCAGCCTCACACCTTAGGAGACGGACAGAAGAAGGGAATGAAGAAAAGAAGGAAAACGAAAGGGGAAAAAGAACAGAAAAAAAAACGTGCAAAAGAGGCTGAGGCGAAGGCTGAGGTCCAAGGTAGGGGTTGATCTCTTAAGTTGGGCCTCAGTCTCTCTCTCCTTAGACCCTCAATGACAAGACCGACCAAGGGATTGGAGGGTTACGTATTCATCATTATCATTATGATTTTATTACTATTATCATCCTAGGTAGAAAGAAAAGTCAGTAAATGAAAATTTTATAATTGTATTATTTAAAGCTGTAGCATTTTTTATCTATAAATCATTTATATATATATAATATATATATAATATATATATATATATATATATATATATATATATATATATATATATATATATATATATATATATGCTTTGATATGCATGTGAATATACATACACACACACACACACACATATATGTGTATGTGTGTGCGTGTATGCATGTATGTATGTAAATCTATGTATTCATCTATCTTTCTGCCCATCTCTCTCTCTCTCTCTCCCTCATTATATAATAATTATATATATATATATATATATATATATATATATATATATATATATATATATATATATATATATATATATATATATATATAATGCTGCGAATGCGCGTCAGCTGGTGCAAGGTTGCGACCCGAGTGTTCAGTCTCTCCCTCTTAAGATCCGCTGTTTTTCCTTTTGATATGATTATGATAAAAATAAACTGCAAAATTATGTAGACTTTAAAACAATTAGATTGATGATGATTTCCTTGTTTCTGAATGTTTTCTTGAAAATATGTTCCCGCAAGTACAGATAAGGAATTACATTTATTAAATAAGATGAAAGGATGCAATTGAATTAGCTACTCAAGAAAACTGACACAGGATATTTAAATATAAATTATATGTGTTAATACTTATTAGGTGACCTTATGTGCTGCTACATAAGTGACATACGACAAAAGATTAAGTGATCAATTTCATCTTAATAAATAATTAAGAATCACAATAAAAAACACTATGGATTGTACAAAAAGCGCCAAAGGAACACGTGCGAAACCTAATTGTGATTGCACACGCTGGACAACCTTCACATACAATGGGAGTTAAAGTTGGGCATAATTGGCCATTGCTCTTTGACCTATTCTTGTCGTGATAGACGGGGGCCTCACCGGGATGCGATCGATGTTTCATTTTCGTGTAGAAGTCTTCCATTTGATGGTGATGCATCGTTGTTCATATTCTTCTCCTTTG